GAATCGTCCCCCGAGGTCGGAGTGTGATGCACTATGAAGGGGTAAGAGCCCACAAGAACTCATATGATGTCAAGAGTGTGCGGTATTAACATTTACATTGGAGCTTATTAACCGTCACACCCATATTACATGATCCGGTGGCGCGAGTGTGTGTGCTCGGCCAGTGTACCAGTGTGTGCTCGTCCGGCATACTTGAGTGATTAGATATCATAAGTCTGTTGTTCAATGTTAAAATGACACACACTTAACAAGAGTAAAAACAATCATATCACTTAAAATACTTTTCAAATGTTTCAATTTATGATTTTTTTTTCGGTAAATGTTTTTTTGTATCAAATATAGAGGATATTTGGATACTTAACTCTTATTTGGGTCATTTGTTGATGGGCTGAGAGTTGGTGTGTTGTTGGAATATAGCCCATTGTAGAATTTAAGTGACCGAAAGCAATCCAACCCACTGGTCTCACTTGGCTCAAAGACTCTTTTACCCTGCTGTTATACAGTCAACTAGACCAATCTAATAGTTGACCATGCTTGCCAAGCCTTCCTCCTACTGGCGCCAGACATGGAGGCCAAGACAATGAGCATTTGGCCATAAGGGATGCACCGCCGTCACAGTCATTTCCGTGGAAGTGAGAGAATAGGAGCATGCCGTTGGTCCTTTTCACCGTCAAACCCGGTGGTCCTCGCGTACGGATCACTGGCTGGTACAGCTGGGCAGTCTTCTTCGTTGAATTGGAAGTCACCAAAGAGCGGACTAGGGGCGTTGGGTCTGCCGTTATGAGGATCGGCTCTAATGGGTTGCATTGTTACTTCCTGCAGCTTCTCACCTCCATTAATGGCAGATATTTGAGGTTGAGCTCCAACAACCGGAGTACATGACCATGGAGGAGGTAACCGTGACCCAGGCTCCAATCGCCAGCTGTGAGGGCGACCGACACAGCTGCGGTGCCATCGGTAGCGAGGCAGGCACCAATGTGACAGAGGTGGGTAAGCATAGTCGGGCTGCGTTGCCATCCAGTACAGTTCCGAGACCCATCTTAAATTTTTTCAATGTCTTTCTTGTGGACGCTGGTTGCTGGCCTACATCCAGATCCCCATTGCTTTACGAGACCATTTTTTCATGCTTTTTTTTAGATTTTGAATTTCAGGCACGAAAAACTCATTGAAACCTTCGAATTTCCATTTTTTCTGCAATTTTCTAGTCAATTTCTACTAGAGTGATGTGAGAGAAAATAGAGACTCTCAATGAAAGCACCAATGTTGGTCCAAAATGGGACGCTCGTAGGCTTTTAAGAAAGCTACGTACCACGCTCAAACAGGAAATCAAGAAAGCAATACGAAAATGGAAAGTGCTAAAGATTTTTAGTTGCCCAGAATAGCTTATAGAACTTGCTTCCCTAATTTGAATTACAAGCTGCCTTTTATAGGCGTATACAAACTGTAATCGCTACCGATAATAACGACTAACTAATTACAACATTAAAACGGAATTAAATACATAATTAAATAGCACATTAATTGCTTGACCGTTACTCTTCCGAGCTGGGAGGTCGGCCAGACTGGCAGGCTCCCCGCTCGCTGGCAGGCAGGCTCCAGGTTGTGGAATTGGATCCACGGATCCAAGTTCAGGGCTTGGGCTGATTAGGCTCTGGGCCTAGTCCCATAACTCCATCAGTAAGTATACTCGTATAGTCAGTAGAAGCTAATAAGTCACACTTTTGTCTACTATCATTTTCATTTATCATTTTCATTTACCCCAGTGTCGCAAAGGCTTCCACCTACGATGGGGTAGGGGGGGGATGTACGCAGTCTTACCCCTGTACTAAAGAACAGAGAGACTGTTTCCGGATGACCCATAGTGAAAATCGCGTCCAAAATTGCATGGACTGACTGTTGCTCCATAACAAAGAAGCGCAGACAGTTTAGTGAGTCATTTTGCTTTATTCCATCATAATCTCAAGCCAAAAAATAATGAATCTTTGGCTCCATTGAAAATGATGGAAAAACACTTTTGTCTACTATCTACTTCGTATAGTTTAGTCATATATTAAGAATTATTTTTTATCAATGTTAATATTTTATCATTAAACTAGTTTTTGCAGTTCTAATTTTGGTAAATTTGTACTCCATATTTGTTAGATTTAGAACTCAACAAATCTCTTTTGTTGAAAATCATAAAAGTATGATGTTTTTAATACCATAATTTAAAAATTAAATCTAAATATTTAAAAATAGCTCAAGGATATTTAAAATAAAAGATAAAAGGCTTTTCACGCCTTAGCCTCGTCTAAGACTCTAAACCCACCTAGACTTCAAAGGCTTAAGCCTTGACCATACTGCCTCGGCACGCCTTACGCCTTTTAGAACATTGCTTCACGGGCTCTCTCGGACAGCCATGTGAATCTGTCCTGCCGTGCAGATTCATGGACTCATTAAACATGCTTAAACACTTGTTTTTGAAAGGGACGCATATAGTTAATGTCAAGTACTAATATATTGTAATATTTGAGGTTATATAAATTTGCCCTCAGAGTCTCAGATCTAAATATTGATGAGCGCATTTATTTAATTAATGTATGCCAAGTACTAATATATTTCAGATCTAAATATTGATGATGTCAAGTATGTACTAATATAGTGGAGTAATATATTGTAATATTTGAGGTTATACGGAGTATAACTTTGCCCTCACACTAATATAGTTCCAAACACCCCTAGTACCGTATAATTTTGCTTCTTTATTTTCTTTCGGTTGGCACCCGGCCAGCATTAATTATACTTCGTAACATAAAATGAGCTTTACAGACTTTTTTACATGAAAAAATTTCGATCTAGGAATTTTGTGAAGCTCATGGATATCACTGCATGCGTTAGCTAGGTAGGACTTTAAAATTAAAGATATTGTTCATAATAGGATTAGATGATAGATATACACACACTCTTTAGTCATATTTGATTCCCAAGAGTAGGACTTGTATGACTATATAAAGGAATCAATCTTCTCGAATTAATATTGGATGAGTCCTAACCAATAATGATTTTATTTGTGTACTTTATTAATATTTTAGTTTTATTTAAGAAATTTTTCCAAAATAATTAAGACTAAAACAATTTTATATGGTCCGACTCATGGGGAAAAGGTTTAATCAATGCTCGGAATTGAATGACCATTGATCAACAATTCTTGTTATACACACGTTACTGTTTACACACTTGTACACATTATCTATGAAGACTTTTTTTGTCTGTCAACAGTGTGTACAAGTGTGTAAACAATAAAAGTGTATACATATATATCACATATATGAGGGATGAAATTTGACGTATACTAAAATACTGTAAACATACATTGTATCTAATTATCTTGACCTCTATTATATGCATGTTTTCTTGTGCATCTTGGTTGACCATTCTAATTAAACTCGAGTGCCTCCTTATTAATTCGATGGGTTTAGTCTTAAAATGACATGAACTTTTGTGTAAACATATGAACTATCTCAATCAAATGATAATGTGAAAGGAAGAAAACGAGAACAAGGTAAATACGTTACGTTTGGTGGTGTATGAAATAGTTTGGGTGTACATGAATGACGTGTAAACGTGTGTAATTAACAAATACGTAGTACATATATAACCAATTAATAATAAGCTCAGTGTAGACGAAAAATATACATTTTTTTCGGTGTAGACGAGAAAATACGAAACATACAGTTAATCTTAATTAGATAAGATAAGAAAGTAAGATTAATACATAGTACTACATTCGTCCCTTAAAACTTTGTCAAAGTTGACGGCCACGGAGAATAATAAAGTAAAAACTGTGTGGTTGAGGTTTGTGCAGAAGAGAGAGAAATAACATAAACCACAAAATAATTAATTAAACGGGAAAGTGACAAATTTTTTTAGGACGTCCCGAAAAGGAAAGATCGACAAAGTTTTAAGGGACGGAGAGAGTAATCAATTTTGCTATTGGTACCCCAAATTTATCCTATTTCCTACCTCATATGAAAACCCTCTCCCCTTCCCCACTTTTCTTCTCCCCCCACCCCCACTTTTCTTCTCCTTCCCTCCTCTCTCCTCCCTCTTTTCTTTTTACGCAGCCCCTCCTCCCCCATCTTCTCCCCTTTCTTTCTCTTTTCTCCAAATCTTGATTTCTTCCCCATTTCAACATCTCTCTCCATCAAATCTTCCCATTTTTACAATCTTTTCTCCCTCCAAGCTTCTTCTCATGCTTCTCGCCTCTTCTTCCTTTGTTTTCGTTTCAAATGCAAGAGCTACAGTAGATCGGACGAATGGGAGAGCTAGGTGACGTTGGATAGCTTGACATGGGGAGACAACGACGAAAGTGCAGACCAAGAAGCTTTGAATGACTCGAGAAGAGCTACTTTTCTTCATTTTTTTCTTGACTTTTTTGTGTGTTTTCAAAAAAAAGGGTTGTCTGTCTGACAGACAACTGTAAGTGCAATGTCTATATTTGTTAGTAAGACTCGTGAAGTTGTATGTCATTTGATCGTTAGTTGTCTGTATTTGTTTTGAGTTGTCTGTATTTGTTTCGAGTTGTCTATCATGTTATTGTGAGAAGTCTGTAAGAGTCGTGAAGTTGTCTGTCTGTCTGTAATTGATGGTTAATTATCTGTATTTATTTTGAGTTGTCTGTATTTGTTTTGAGTTGTCTGTATTTGATTGTGAGTTGTATGTATTTTGTGATGTTTATTTTTTGAGATGTAATTAGTATAACGAGGCAGACATTAAATATACACATCCAGACAATAAGTATACACATACAGACATTACTTTATTGTGAATTACCATTTTGGAATATGTTTCATAAAGAAGACAGACAATACGTATAACTAGACAGACAATACAGATAACGAGACAAACATTATTTTCACCACAAATTACATACAACTCACAATGAATGACAAACAACTAAGTATGAGTTACAGACAACTTCACAACTCAAAACAAATACAGACAACTAACAAACAAATGACAAACAATTAAATATGAATTACAGACATTTATTTTTCAAATGACAGATAATTTCATGACTCTTATAGACACTGCACTTACAAGTTGTCTGTCTGACAGACAACCCTTTATATTTCGAAAATGCATCAAAAATGAAGAAAACAAAATCAAGAAAAGAAGATTTGCCGCTCAAGTTATTCAAATCTTCTTGGTTTGCCTTCGTCGTTGTCTTCCCTTGAGATTGCATCCGAAATAGCAACCAACGTAGGCCTGCCGTCGGCAACCGCGCGGCGTAGACCCGCCGTTGGCAACCGGCGTAGACCCGCCGTTGGCAACGCCACCGGTGGAAGTGGAGATAAGCAGGAGAAGATTTAAGGTTGGAAGGGGGGAAAATGGTAAAAATGGGAAAAATTTTGAGATGGAGAAGAAAGGGGAAGGGAGGGGGTGCTTGAAAAGAGGAGAGGGAGGGAGGAAGAGAGGTGGGGTGAAGGAGAGAGGAAGGAGGAGAAGAAAAGTGGGGGTGAGTTTTTATATGGGGTACAATTGGGGTAGGGTTTGGGGTACCTATAACCTTATTAAAATTTGTATATTCAGAAACTACATTAAAATCTCTTCAAAGTTGTAAACTCAAATTATAATATAATTAAAAATTGACATCCTAATTAAGCAAATAAAATAAAATTGTTTGATCAAGAAAAGTCACATTTGAAATCAATTTGGGACGAAGGTAGTACTACGTATTATTCATGCGTGTTGACTGTTGAATACATACATTTACTTAGTAGTTACGGAGTAGTATAAATGTATTCAACTCGACATGTTTTATCATAATGTTATCGCTAATGTGGAGACTTTACTTTGTGTTATTTTGTTCAATCTCTCATATTATGTCTATAATGTGTGTTCATCTAAAGTGTTAATTTTAATTTGAACATTTATGAGCACATAGACACTTCTCCTCGTAAGAATATCATAGATCGATTCATGTTAGTCGACCCCAAATACTTTTGGGATTAAGGTTTGGATGATGTTGTTGTAGTATTGTCAAGCACCCAATATGATTCCTTCCTCTGATCTTTGTATCCCGAAAGTTTTATCATGACGCTCAATTTCTTCGGTAAAACATATCATGATTCCATATGTAAATTGTAATTATGTTGATTGCGGCATGGTGGAAAATCTCAAGAGAGAAACTAACTAAGGAGCCAGAGAAGTGTTGATGTGATTATATATAATTATAATAGGGTTATTACAAGAGGGCCGGTTTCTGTTCATTCATATATAAATGGTCTCTTTCTTTTATCTAAATTAAAAATTAGACCTGTTTCTATCCATTGAAAAGTGTTAGTGTTATTTTTCTCATTATTTTTTTGTTAATTATAATTATTATTACTACTAAGTTATCATATTACTAGTGTTATTGCAATTGAAATATTATTATAGTAATTAGTATTGTTCTTTGATACATCGGAAAGAAATTATCATATCAGTATTGTTAACAAATTTGTAAATTATGTTACTCGTATTATAATACTTTTATAGAGAAAATATGAACCGAGCCGGATAAATCGATACCAGTCTGGTCCAGTGGCCCTATCCATTATGCTATAAATGTACACATTTTAGAACCATAGATTGGGCGATCCCGATATCACAACTTGCATTGACCGGTCCATCTCTAATACTCCCTCCGTCCCAGAAAATTCTTTCCATTTTGACTTGACACGGAAATTAAGAAAGTGGAATAAAGTGGAAATGTGTGGTTATAGTTGTGTGAGAAAAAGGTGAAATAAATGTGAACCACATAAATTGTTCAAAAATGATAAGTGAGAATAATTTTTTGGGACGACTAAAAAAAGAAAGTGTGAATAATTTTATGGGACGGAGGAGTACTTTTATTTCGACTTTGCAAAAGTGTTGAGGCATACGGCATGGCTTAAATTGGGACCTGTTTACCAAGTCAAATGGAAGCCATGGCCCACGGGGTCCAAGCTAAGAAACACTAAGCCTGGTCAAGTTCGAGTTCCTATACCGTACGACCGGTATACGGTGAGCACCGTATACCGGTACGGTTTTATATTTTTTTTTTTCCTTTTGTTTTTAAAAAATGGTAATAACTTTTTTATTTTTGATCCGATTTTTATAAAATTTATATCAATATTTTTTATTTTTCATGATCTTTCAAATGAGACCAATATTGCCTATGTAATCCAATACATAGGCAATACTTATATCAATAACTTTTTTATTTTTTATTAATCTTCTATTTCACAAACCTATCATCTCCCTAACAGATTCGATTTTCCTTATAATTCAATACTCATTAATATAATAGTTCGATAATTTCTTAACATTACATAAGCAATATTGGTCTCATTTGAAAGATCATGAAAAATAAAAAATGTTGATATAAATTTTATAAAAATCGGATCAAAAATAAGAAAGTTATCATCATTTTTAAACAACAAAAGCAAAAAAAAAGAGAGAGAGAGAGAGTGAAGCTGCGTCGTTTTGCAACCGGGCGCACCATCCTCATGGTGCGCCGGTTGCACGGTATAATTTGCCGTCAAGTTCCAATTTTTGTTCAGATGAAGTATATTGACTCATACCCTAATGATCCAAAACACATTCAATTACAAGTGACAGTGACACGAATGGATGGACTATGCACACGAGACCGATCGGACTAGGCTGGTCAAGTTCCAATTTTTGTTCAGAAAGGTTCGTAAACGAATGGGTGGACTGCACACGAGACCGATTGGACTAGGCTCGTGCTTTGGACAGGGGTCGCGTAACGCCAGGGACATGTTTCATAGTGACAGTGATATCGATGACGACAACAATGGCATTGATAGCCACTGACACTAATATAATAAAGTGACAACGACATTACAAAAACTGCAAGAGACGTTATTTTTTTCAAAACATATTGCCGCGTTAGTCATATTTTTATCTATAAGTAAAAATTGTCAATTTTTTTGAAATGAAGCCTCAATTCAGTCATACTTAAAGAAAAATTCCTAAATAAACAAATAACTAAAATATGGCTTCGAGTAAGCAGATTGGTTCCTCTCCATGTAGACTTGCAACCGGACGTGATGAGCGGATTGGAGAAGATGATCATGAGTAATGTTGATGCCACACAATTGCAACTAATTAGAGGGGGTAAAGTGAAACAATGATCTTGTTTTGAGAATAATAATATGATTACTCATATTTAGGAATTTAAGTAACATTTTTCTCCTAATCAAGGCAATTTTCCCTACATGTAATTTAGCTCTCATTTTAATCAATCACTTCATGCAAAAATAAATGTGTTGTAAGACTACATGGGAGGGAATTGAATTTCATAAACATATATGTACCCTTGCCCTAAACATATCTACTAGCTAAGTGATTAGGCATAATAAGGCGGAGTGTAATATATATAGTGGGAAGCATGTGTATATTTTCATGATTCATAGTAGTATATATATACATATATATGTATCCTTAGGTGCCTAAAAATAATGTGTTTCATAAAGAAAGGGAATGACAATGAGTAAGGTAGAAGAGTGGGCAGTTGCATTTATTGCTGTTTAGAAGATATCTTCATCCACTATTCATTCATTTAAGCTAAGATGCAACTCATACCCGAGGGCGCCCATACACATATGTTATGTTCAAAGTATTTTATTTTTCAGTTGCAAAAAAAGAACACCTATTATTAAAGAGTGATTGTATTTTATGATTTAAGTTGTTCATACTTATCATTTTATTTTTATTTGATACTCCGTATTTAAGTTGTTCGACCGGGCAAAATAACTCACTCGTCAAACCAAACATACGCGGTGTATGCGGGTGTGAAAATAGGGAGGGGCTTAAGTAGGCTTGGCCGGTCGGCCGTTCAAGAAAACGTTGGGACTCGTTTGGTAGTTTACACATTAAATTTTTACACACGAAATGATTGCATGCAGAGTTTAGTGAAGCAACCCATTTATATTTAGATAGATTCCATTTTTTAGTTAAATGTGTAATTTATTTTTAATCTACACGCAAGGCGTTGCAGTGTCTTATAGTGTACTCCGTATTTATTATTATAAATATTTTTTGTTTATAAAAAATATATTGATAAGTTATGGCCTCTGCAATGTAAAATTCCCACGCAAAGCCCACCCTCTAACCATATATTTCTGGCTCTGCTACTGACTTTGCATAAATGTTTACAACATTTTCTTCTATTTTGTGATAATATACATTCAATATCACATAATCGGCAACTCTCACATGTAATACACAAAATTTTACATTACACAATATTTCACATCTCATTCGGTAGATGAGGTAATTCAAATTTAGAATTTGATATGTGGACTACATCATCGGTCATGCCCCTCGACAAGCACTGGGCACCGCCGCACGGAGCGGTCCATATCATCGACGAGGATCAAACAAGGATTAACAAAATCACCTTCATCAAGAGTCCCTCGGGCATGCACGCTCGGCCAAGAATGAAGAGACAAATCACCAACCAGACAAATCACGCAATATGCGCCCTCGCATTTTGTGACACCACCACGTGTCTTCGATCTGTAAATACTCTGCAGAGATTTATCCATAGATTGTCAAACACGTGTACTGCCATTTAACGCACTTCGCATTTATTACATCTATAAATAGCCGCATTCTCTAGAATACATAACGTCTTTGTCATTATTAACTTAGCCTTTCCCAACTAAGCTGAAAAGGTGGAATCGCTCATCTCAAACGCCACACACCCCGACCCAACAGAATGGCAAAGAAATAAGTTACGATATGATCTCAAACAATTTCTGAGTAAAGTAATTCACAACCTGATGTGTACAAAGAGTTATCACATTAGATGAAATTTCCACACCGTCCCTATATTAGGATTAGTACCTTTGTCTAAAATACAACGAGTAGCTAGTTTCGGACATAGCTATTATTATTATTATTGGTGTCTATATATAGAGAGAGAGAGGTGAGATCACATACAAACCTTGCTTAACTTAATAACTTACAAACTCAATAATATGCAACACTTTGAACTTCAATATTCAATACAAATAATGTAAAGATGCACTCTTTGAATTTCAATATGCAATACAAATAATGTAAATATGAAACTGCTATTTTATGGCTTGAATAATATGAAATACTTTGAACTTCAATGTGCAATACAAATAATGTAAATATGATTTGAATGAAATGACTAGTTTGTATGTGATCCCACCCCTGCATCTTTACATTATTTTTACTGCATATTGAAGTTCAAAGTGATGCATATTATTGAATTTGTAGGTTAGTATTTTAAGCATGGCAATTTCGTAATTAAAACGAAGTTTTTTGCCATCGCGAAAAAGTGCGACATAAACACGCAAAAGTGCAACGCGATGAAGAAAAAGTGCAATTGTTCGCACTTTGCACGGGAGAACCTCTTTTTATTTGATTTTTCCCTATATATATATATATATATATATATATATATATATATATATATATATATATATATATATATAAACACACACATATATACTACGTATATTGCCGTAGGATGGATTGGATAGACGCTTTCTGTAGCTAGTTCGTCGTGCATATGATCGATCAAGCCCATACGTTATCCATCTAAAACAATTCTGCAGAACAGTTACTGGATCGAAATGGCCTTACCCAGAGAATTGGAAACCCCAAACTGGTATAGAATAGACCTAACTGCCTTCTCCACCAGCTTACGCCAACACGACGGCGTCCTCTTATTCCTCCTCATCTTCTTCTCCCTCATCTTGGCAATTCTCTTCATCTTCTTCTACTTCGTCTGCAAGTGCACGTGCGGCAGCCGGATTAGATCGTCTTCTCGGGGATCCGGGCAGCCTCCGCGGGCTCAGGCGGAGGCGAAGAAAGGAGGGCTGGATGCAGAGTCCGTTGAGAGCCTGCCGGCGGTGACGTATGCATCTGTGGTGGTGGGGGACGGGGAGGCAGAGGCGGAGAGGAATGAATGCTGCATATGTTTGGGGTTGTTCGAAGAGGCGGAGATGGTGAAGGTGATGCCGGATTGCTGCCATCTCTTCCACGCTCAATGTGTAGATACATGGCTTTCGAATCGCTCCAGCTGCCCGCTCTGCCGCGCTTCACTCGACTCTGTTTCTGTACATATTGATATCAGCGATGCATGAAAAAGGGGTTCTAGTGCTTCCTCTTGATTGGAATGAAATTTGAAGATCATTATAAAATTTAGAGGGTCATTGATTAGTCAAACTTGAATTATCTATAAACATTTTCTCTCACTTTCCAAAAGGTTCCAAAAATTGAATCCTGAACTTCAAGGACCCTTCAAACCCGGATCAGAACGGGTCGTAAATCATGGCGACTCAACTAAGCACGGAGAAAGTTAGACTAGTGCTCGTTGCGCATAAGGAGTCTCCTAACATTAAGTGGTTACTTTCACACTGCCACTAGGGGCCGTTAGAGAGACTCGATCGTGAATCACTTGTTCTCAATTTCACTCATGTGACCAAGTGAATTGTCTTCATGTACATGTTATGTGTATTCCGTACATTTTTCTCGATACATTTGACTATAATTTGAATAACACACGGATCGTTTGTTGTCAAATAGTCGTGCACACATATTTTCATTTCTACACTTATAAAATGTCAACAAATGACATTTTCATTTCTAATGTGCTTTAAAATGACTGCTCGGTCTTGGCCGTAGAACAAACAGTGAGAAAATGTAAACTCTCTCAAATTGATACTGAACATTAATTCATGATCCGTGTTAATTCCACGCCTCCTGAAATGAACATTTTCTGGCTGGTTTACTGTGTCACGGTGAAGAGGGGAGTTTGTGGAAATTTTGACCAGGGTCAAAAGGGTCAAACCTTATTATACATTTCACAAACATTCATCAACAGATAAACTACAAATTATTATTTATATATTTAAAAGAAGTTCTGAAGTCATACTTTTATGAAACTTTCATCTAAAATTATCTTCGTTTATAAAAAACGGTGATTCAGATGGATAATTTGAACCAATTTAAGTTGTAACTGTACAAGGATGAAAAAAACAATATGTTTTTCTCTGTATATAAATGTTAATGAGAATAATTTATAAATCGTTTGTTAAATTAAATTTTACGGTCATTTTGAGCTTTTAAAATTTAATTAACAAGTAGAAGAAAACAAAATTAAACACTCAAGGAGAGCCTAGTTTCGAACCCTCATTCATAAATTTTGGGGTGCAAATATTGGGGTGCTGGGTGGTTCCATCCACACGATTACACAGGAGATCTTGTCTTTGCTACTAGGTGTCTAGGTGGGGACTGGGGAGTGGGACGGTGAACAGGTCCTCGTTCCGGTCTTCACCTTTAAAGCTTGTTTGGTAACACTAAAATGACTGAATCGGTTGAATTTGAATCCATTGAATATGCTTAATTATGAAAAATTTAAATTTAAAAATTTATTTCATAAATAAAATAAAAGAAAAATTATATAAAAAATAGCTAAAATTATCATTTGTATTAACTTCAACTACTTCATCCACAAAAGTAACTTCAACCTCAAAAAAGTTGACTTATTCTTCTACCATCCGATAAACTACTCGATATTTTAACCCCGTTTCCTCTTCATCCCTCACTCCTCAATTTTTAAATTGACCCTCACATCCCTAAATGAAATTAATGAAAAATATAAAAGTCAAATGGGATTGCACCAAGACCGAACCGGCAAGTTCTAGTCCCTAATTTGAGCCACTCGGGACCCGGACCCTAAAACCAGCCGATCCAGCTACGGTTTGAACCCGGGACCGCCGCAGCGGCTCTAGTAAAAAAACAGCCCCTTCAAGTCCGAATTGATCCAGGTACTGGAACCGTGATTCATACCCTTAGTGATTGGGAAGCCATTAGACTACGTAGGTTGATCACAATAGCGCCAAAAGTGCCAAAGATGCAGCTTCAAATGGAGAGAAACAAGAGGTATTAATTCTAAGATTGCGGTTGCAAATTAAACTTCAAGCAATGGTAAGAGGGCTGGCTATAATGTAGAGATAAGTTATGGTTTAGGAACGGCATTAATTCTACAAAGGAAATTAAATAAACTAAAGTGCACTATGTATGAGGTCAATATTTCAAAAAATCAGGAGTGTATGGATGAGGAGTTAGTCTTTAAAGCCGCCATTATGGGTGCATTTTAAAAAAGCAGTAGATGTAGAGCTAATTAGACTTCAATTATATATGCTCTCTGATGTAAGCTTAATTATTAAGAAGGGCATACATTATGTTTGACATGGGGGATCTACGTTAATAGGAATATAGTAGGATAAAGTGCAAGGCAATTTAATTTTTTTCCAAAAAGAAATGTGTAAATTTTTTCACTTTTCCTATTTAGCTCACTCTACTAATATTCAAGAATCAAGTCTAATATAATTACTCGTTAACCTAGTCTAACCGAGATTCCTGAATTCGCCTCTAGTACTTGTCCATACATACAGATATACTCGATAACTGTTCTGTAGTTCGAGCGTTCTCTCGCGAGAATGTATGGTAATAGGGCGATTATATAACGCTTTTATTTATCATCAATAGTGTATTAAAAGACAGTTGAGAGTGCCATCTGAAGTAATTAATGGTAATTTTTTCTATTGCATTTAATGAAATTGTTCCGCTTGTTAATATCTGTCTTTTTTCTCTAAAAGACAGTTGAGAGATCCCCCATGTCTTTATCCTAATTTTTATCATCTTACAAACATTACTAATAAATAAACAAATACTCATTGGATAAAAATAAAGTCTCAATTCTCAAACAAAAACATTACCAACACATTTCCTAACCATCACTAGTCAATTGGTAACTGTGTTGATAAATGGTCATAACTGACTTTGTTTTTCGTAATTGCGTTGAAAACATCTTTTGTCCTACATTAAGGATCAAACTCTTGTACACTGGGTATCAATGGCCACATTATCAGTACATTAAACACTTTCAGCACTTCTACTCGAATTTACTTTCTGCAAAACGGTTTTCAGTGCTCGTGCTTTCCTAGTTGACTCTCCAGGATGTCATTACATTGGTCATAGGATAAAGAATGTATATTGAGAACAGTAATGGTCATCTCAATTTCAAAATGCTTTATCTCAATTTCAAATCAGAACTTCCCTGTAGTAACGAATAAGGAGTATTATACTGACAACAGTATGAACCTTCTCAAACCTGACAATTTCTACACCGGATGAGGAATAAAGTCGGGACTTGGGAGACTACATCAGTTTGTATCTCTTCTCCTGGACTCCTGTCACTCCCATTTGTATCTCTATAATTGTGTGAAGTGGTACCTGGAAATATTACAACATAACAGCTCAAGCCATTGAACAAGAACTTCGAATAAGAAGGCATTAATGATGTCACACCACTAGGATCGTAACAAGTGTTTGTTGTTACTGTCAATGCACCAAATCATCAATGGTCAAGATTGGATTTGAATGGAATATAATTGTGGCCAGATTCCATCTGAATTGTTTGTGGAGTAACCCCACAATGGGCTTACTCCATCAGATCCAACACCATGTTTTATAGACCTGATGAGAAATGACTTGCCTCTATGTTTGGAATTTCTTTGAGGGGCCTATCAGCAAAATAAGCATATAAAGCTCTCAATACAGCCTAGAACAAGTTTTGGGAACAAATCAAACAATCAGTTCATATTTTTAAAAAGCGTGAGGGAAATGGAATTGTACTCTCATAATGACATTACCTGGTGAGATATCACCACAACGGGCGCTCGTTGTCTCTCCAGCTCAATAATCACAGGCTCTAACCTGCAAGGGCCATTTAGGCATGTTTTCCCAATTACGTTTGAGCAAAGACAATATATAGAGTTTGGATCTCCAATAGAGCAAATTATAATTTAAAAATTAGCACTCAACTCTGAATTACGAACCTTTGTATAACATCTAGATATGATTCTCCTCGAGGATATCTATACCTCAGTTTGTCCTTCTCCCGTGATCTGAACAAGTTTTATTCAAAAAAAATCCAAAACACAAAAATACATTTGTTAAAATTTGGAAACATTGGTTAAATTCAAAAGCATATAGATGGGAAAACATCACTACCAATGAAAAATTTATCACTGCCACCTAAACCCTACTAAGATTGTATCTTCCTTGAGTGCAATGTATTCGACTACATATCAGTCAAATATTCACTTTACCACTATTATAAGTTTATATACTCTTCTTAAATTATCAATAAGATGCCTAAAATTTCCAGCAACTTTCCGTAAACATGCAGCTCACATAAACAGATAACATACTCATATTCTTCGGGCATATTCTTCTTTACTTCTTCGTAAGTCATGCCATCACATACACCTGCATTTATTTCATCAAGTGCACGCCATTGTATCTGTAGAGAGAGAGGGATGTATGATACTGATACAATATTGTAAATCCTAAATAAATTTCACAGTCGAAATAAAAAGAAAAAGGATTTTGGTAGCAGAACTACCTTAGGCAATCCTACAATTGGGCCAGCTGTCAAAATTGTTCTTTGCAATGTGCTAGTCCATATCTAAGCAAACAGAACAAATAGGCAATTACATGGGTTGAATTTCACAGTGAGAAACTATTGAAATGTGTTCTACTAAAAGCATTATTCAAGTACCCGGTTGAAGCTTGAATAATTCAAGTTGGGTACCACAAGAGGAAGAAATAGTTTGACATTTACTACTACCTCCACCCCCAAAAAAACACGATAGTTGACTGGCATACAGTTTTAAAACTGAATAAGAAGATGAAATGACAAACTATCACCTCTGTCCCAAGAAAAGAGTCATGTTTGACCAAGGTATAACCTTTTAGTTTTAGTAAGCTACAACTGCAATTAATCGTAAATCCTAATCATATTTTAAAGGTACAGTTGATGATTTATCTAAATTTATCACATCTAACTAGTATCAGAATTTTTTGACAAAATACATGAAAACTTAGCTACTTGGAACAAGCAACACTCTTTTTTTCGGGTAAATTGGTAAAAAGTGTTTGAAACTTGATTTTTTGGGGATGGAGTAATTCAATATCAATGAGAAGGGGCATAACATACAGATGCAGCCCTCTCATTTTTCAGACGTTTCTCCACAAAATTTGAAAGCTTCTTTGCATAAAGCTCCCCAGCCTCACTGTAAGTGGAAAATGTTAGTGAATTGTCAGTACTAATGACGTCATAACTAGCCAGAAATATATAAACGAGACATAACACACATTTTGAACACTTTAATGAGCATCCAAAACAGAATCCTGTCCAAAAGACTCTTCCTTTTAGGGTGGGAGAGTAAACAAGATTTCAAAGCAAAAACTGCATTCTAAAATCCAATTAAATACGAGTAAATATTAGCAACTATTTATTAGAAAGTAAGCACGAGAATAGATATATTTTAAAGTCAGAGCGTTAACTTAGCGCAACCTGATAGTGCTTAACTGCATAAAGGCTCCCTCATGAAGACTGAAGTACAAATGGAAATATAGTAATCCATGTTTTCTGACAAGAAAAAAGTGAGTACCTTAAAGCAGTATCACCCCCAATTCTGCCTCTAACATTGTTTAGGCTCTCTCCATGTCTTGTAAGCAAAATTGGACGGGGTGTCAAATGCATATTTACCTACGTAAGGAAAGCTTGAACCTCTAAGAAAAACACTAATTGGACTGGTCCCAGTCACAGATCCAGCTAAATAAATTGTTTGGATAGAATATTAGCAGGTTTAGTCTAGCAATGGGATGAAGGGGACTCATACAAACCTGTCCCAATATGGCTACGGCTACAATTTATCGCTATCAAGATGGGTTAAGATAGGGAGCCATAGTTCGAGTGACGCTATCTCTCAAATGTTAGAGCAATATCTTATTGGAATTAAGTCATTAAGTGACATACCAAGAAGAATACAATCCGCCCCGGAAGATAGCCACTTATATTATTCACCTGCCGAAGTAAAAACAAGTAATCAGTATAATTAGCTGCAAGCCTTCAAGGTCTCTACAGACTTATGGCTAAAAACAGTAAAATACGTATCTCCATTGGCTGATAGCTGGCTCCAGATAAGCCTTACAAAAGCACCTATAAACCTACTTTTTTCTAGTACTGAAGAAAGGGTTCCAAAATAACAAACATAAACAGAAATAAACAGAAATAATTACAACTATATGATGCAGAATATTTTATACTTATTTGAAGCTACCAGCTAGAACATTACACTATTGTTAGCATATCCTCCAACTTATAGAGTTATAGTGAAGAAGCACTCTGCACCCAACCAAAGAAAGCTTGTACAGAAGTAGAAGGAAAGTTTTAGAGCAATTGAATGAATCTTAACAAGAAAAAGATAATTTGCTTACTTTTAAGTTACAACGACCTAAATACTCATAATATACCGTTTGAAACCAATGTAAAAGTTCCAGTGAGGCAAACTGGCCCAGTAAATCCTTATTCCTTACAAAAGAATAGTTTTCCATAGAATCTAAAGTACAGCCAATTATGATTTCAATCATTTACCCACTTTTAATTCAGGAGGCATGCTTAGGTTACTATCTTACTTCTGGTTATTGAAATTTGAAATTCGACACCTACAAGCTTAGTACAATAAATGCAATCTGCATCGGTTATCCAATGGCATGCTATTTTCATCATCATCATCATCATTACCCCAGTGCCGCAAAGGCTCCCACCTACGGTGGGATAAGGGGGTCGAATGTACGCAATCTTACCCTTGTACTAAAGCACAGAGAGACTCTTTCCAGATGACCCATAGTGAAATTAGCAACAAAAATTGCATGATGGACTGACTACTGCTTCATAACAAAGAAGCGCAAACAGTTTTTTTTGAAAGCAGAAGTGCAAACAGTTTAGTAAGCCATTTTGCTTTATTCCATCATATTTCCAAGCCAAAAAATACTATATTCATTATAATTCTTTTTTCTCTTACGCCACTACGACTGAAAAGTTGAACAACATATGGCTTACATTAGTTACATAGGTGAAAATTAAATGCAGTGTCAACTATATTAATTACTCCCTCCGTCCCGCTAATATTGTCTCATTTTTACCTTTTTGGGAAATCTCACTAAAATTGTCACATACCAAATTGGTAAAGTTTGTGTGGCTCTAAATCATTCTTACTTTATTCTTACTTTATCCATCAATATCAACCACACAAAGCCACTTTTCTTAATAACCATGCCACCCCTTCCATCCCAATATTAGTGGGACGGAGGTAGTATTAGACTACAAGCATCTAGAGTTATATTCAACATTGAGTATCTTAGTATCATGAAACACGAGGGTCATCTGTTAAGTTCCCATATCATATCTAAGATGACTCACATGTGCCATTAAGAACCAACAGGAATATACTCCCATATCCCTTTTTTATTAAAATGGAGAGGGATACCATGCAAATCAGGTAGCAAGGAGACTACCCCTTGCAGTGGAGAAAAATGGTCTTTCCATCTATTGAAGTTCCACTCAAGTCTCTCTATGAAGCTCACCATCTTATTATGAACTAAAACAAATACATCATGAATCATGCGCTAGTGGAGCTGCATGAATTTCTGACCTCTTTGAAAGGCTCCGAGAAGAAGTGCTTAACAAGCAAATGTATTCATACTATGTATTCAAATGTATTCATGTTAATTTTTACGAATTACAATACCGATCTTGTAACAGTATGAATATGATATGGACATGTCCCATGTTAGAGCCTTGCAGAAAAAAAAACATGGAGAAGTATCAAGGAAGAAGACTTCCTATTATTATTGGGTGTGCTTGGTTGGAGGGTTTGAGAGGAGGTGAATGGGAGTAGGTATCAAAGTGATGTTTAGGAGGAAGTATAGAAGGGTCAATAGTGATTTGATTCTCCACTTTTGGGGAATCCATCGAGCCCCCACGGTAATCAAAGTATCACCATTTGTGTTCCCCTCCACCATGACACTGATTCTTATTCCTATCCCCTTCAATCTAACAATCAACCCTTTCATTTCCTTCAATAGTAATGGTATTAGTTTGCAATATAATATTAGTAATTTCCTATTAGTACTAATAGTGTATTTTATTTAATATTTTTAATATCAGTATTGTAATGGTTTTAGGGTTACTCTAATATTTTACCAGGACTCTTGGAGCTTATTAATAAAAACATCTGATATACTTCCTCTGTTCTTTTTTAAATGCAACGGTCCACTTTTCACGTTTGCCAATGCACAAGTTTGACCATTAATATCTTTCATACCTTATTAGTTAAAAAAAAGTAGATTTTGAAACTTTAAAATGAGAAGAATTTAACAATATTTTTTTAAAATTTAATTTATAATACATTAACAAATAAACTAGAGTCAAAGTAGAACATGTGAATAGTGGAAAAAGTCCAATGTTGCATTTAAAAAGAACGGAGGGAGTATTCATTACTAATAATGTCATAATAACAGGAAGTCTCCTTCCACAATACTTCTCCATGTTGCTTTCATTCGGCTCTATGAACATATTCATATGAGAGTACATGATACGTTTGTAATTTCCATATGTATGTGTTTTTAATTAGTTTTGCTTGATCTTTACTTTGGAAATTACACACTTTTGATGTAATAGTTTAGTTTGTTAAATTCTTGTAAATAGTTTAGATTAGGTATATTCTGACCTCAAACAGGTCTTGATCACTCAAAGGACAATTGGTGTACCCCAAAAGTAGAAGGAAGGTGCAAAAAATCAAAAAGAAAGAAGGATCCTGAAATTTTGGTCTATACTCGGTCGAGTATTACCTATACTCGATCGGGTATTAGCTTGAAACTTCAAATCGGAACATGCCGAGAAGATTTCGGCCACGATCAAGTGTCTATACCCGATCGGGTAGACCGCCATACCCGATCGGGTATGCCTTTGAGTTTAAACGTAAAATCGGTCGAGTATGGCTCGAATATCACTTTCTACGCACACTCGACCGAGTATAAATATATACCCGATCGGGTATACCTTTGGAAAATAGTCTAAAACCGATCGAGTATACCTCGAATCTGGTATTACACACACATTCGATCGGGTACCATGTATATACCCGATCGAGTATCCATATCCCATCCCAAAAGCCTATAAATACACCCCCTTTCCTTCACAAATGATCATCCAATTCCTTTGTACATCTAAACTCAGTATAGAATAGTTCTTTCTTTATATTTTTCATCATGTTTAGTCTCCAAATGTGAAGCTAAACTCTTCCATCTTGGTTTTGCTACTTTGAAGCTTAATTAATTTGTAAGTTGTGAGTTATTTTCTTTAATCTTCTTCCTTGAATATTAATTCTTCCTTTAAAATACTATTTCTATATCAAAGTTGGGGAGTGTTACTAAGTTGACAATTAGTTAACATCTTGACATTGGTTATAGTAATAGTTATTTCTTCCTCTATGTTAATATTGGGGAGTGTTACTAAGTTGAGAATTAGTTAACATCATAGTAAAGAATATGTTAACTAATTGTCATCTTAGTAACACTCCCCAATATTAACATAGAGGAAGAAATAACTATTACTATAACCAATGTCAAGATGTTAACTAATTGTCAACTTAGTAACACTCCCCAACTTTGATATAGAAATAGTATTTTAAAGGAAGAATTAATAATCAAGGAAGAAGATTAAAGAAAATAACTCAAAACTTACAAATTCATTAAGCTTCAAAGTAGCAAAACCAAGATGGGAGAGTTTAGCTCCTCATTTGGAGACTAAACATGATGAAAAATATAAAGAAAGAACTATTCTATACTGAGCTTAGATGTACAAAGGAATTGGATGATCATTTGTGAAGGAAAGGGGGTGTATTTATAGGCTTTTGAGATGGAATTCGGATACTCGATCGGGTATATATATGGTACTCGATCGAGTATGTGTGTAATACCAGATTCGAGGTATACTCAATCGGTTTTAGGCTATTTTCCAAAGGTATACCCGATCGGGTATATGTTTATACTCGGTCGAGTATGCGTAGAAAGTGGTATTCGAGCCATACTCGACCGATTTTACGTTTAAACTCAAAGGCATACCCGATCGGGTATGTCGGTCTACCCGATCGGGTATAGACACTTAATCGTGGCCGAAATCTTCCCGACATGTTCCCTTGTCTTCGGATCTAATCCGATTTGAAGTTTCAACCTAATACCCGATCGAGTATAGGTAATACTCGACCGAGTATAGACCAAAATTTCAGGATCCTTCTTTCTTTTTGATTTTTTGCACCTTCCTTCCACTTTTGGGGTACACCAATTGTCCTTTGAGTGATCAAGACCTGTTTGAGCTCAGAATATACCTAATCTAAACTATTTACAAGAATTTAACAAACTAAACTATTACACCAAAAGTGTGTAATTTCCAAAGTAAAGATCAAGCAAAACTAATTAAAAACACAAACATACATATGGAAATTACAAACGTATCAACTCCCCCACACTTAGTTTCTTTAGTCGTCCTCGAGTCAGATCAAATGTTCACAAGTGTCAAGTTTTTCCAAAGTTTCCACAGTTTCAACAACATACAAACACAAAGACCACCAAGGATAACAAAAATGAGTTTTAAGCTCAAATTACAAAGAACATCTTGGGTTTTACGGCCTTCTAGTGTTCATCTTCTCTTCTCCTCATCTCTTCTTCTTCTTCTTCTTTGTTTTCTGAATCTTCTTATTCTTCAAGAGATACAATGAGTGCCTGCAAAAACAAACATTTCTCTCATATCTCTCATTTTGCCTAGGAGCCTTTTCAGGTTTTCATCCTAGCATCTCTTTTCATTTTCCATTCTCCCCAACTCACTCATTTTTTTTTGTAAGCCTTTTTCTTTTGTTGGGTTTTCAACATAACTAGCATTTCTTTTCTTTTATTTATTCTCTTTTTTTTAATACCAATGGTAAAAGAAATTCATGCGTAGTGAAAGGGAATAAATGAAAATAC